ACATCCATCAGAAGTCACTAAACACCAAAGCCCAATTTTTCTTTCCTATTTAATGTTTTATAGACGGAACTGAGATTCTGTAGGGCTAAAGCAGTTTTGAGAATCAATAAGGAAAGTCAATATCCAAAAGTAAGCAAAAGCAGATTGACTTCTGTATGTTGCAGAATATTAAAGGTGGGTTACATTTGTTTATGCTGTTTAACGAATATTTGTTGCAAATATTTGATGCATTCTTTTATGTTGCATTTGTTTAACTCTGTGAAGCTGTCTTACTTTGCCTGTCTAAACTATCTGATGGTCTAAAAAAGAGCTGAATGACCAACAATTAGGCAGGAGAAAGGACAGGTGGGGCTGCGCCAGAGAGAATAAATAGGAGGAGAAATATGGACAGAAAAGATAGAGAACCAAGAAAGGGAGGAGAGGAGAACCCAAGGGTCCAGTCACCCAGATACACAGCAAGCCACAGAGTAAGAAGTAAAAAAAAGAAATACAAAAATTGAGAAAGACAAAAGCCCAGAGGCAAAAGGTAGAGGGGGCAATTTAAGAAAAGATGGCTAGAAAGAAGCCAGGCTAAGGCCGGGCATTCCTAAGTAAGCCTCCACTTATTTTGGAGCTGGGTAGCAGGCCCCCCAAAAGAGTAAATTAATACAAAACAACCAACTATAGATGTGTTCATCTTTTCAGCTATAACAAACATGTTGATGAGATTTTCTGACCTGACAGTATAACACTTAATCTGCACTTCTTGGAGTGCAAAAGAAACAATTCAAGTACTTTTGTACTATTCGGTTACATGGAACAATTTGAGTGAAATTTTAGTTGCATATAAAAGGATACATGAACTAAAGCTCCTGTAATTTTTTTAGTTAAAAAAAAGGTAGAAATAATAGAATGTACTCACTAAACAATGACATCTTAGATGAACCAAATTCTATCACTAATGAAAACAGACTGTGCTTTGATCTAAGAAAGTGGTCTACAACAGTTTGTCACACTATAGAATTATTTGTGAAGGGTTTTGGGTTTTGTTTTGCTTTTTAAATAAAACACCTAAGAGTATGTCAAAAACGCCATTCTTTCAGCACACAGGAAGCTTTTGAATTGTTAGAAGGTTAGATAGGAATTGGGCTTCTTGGCAAGGAATCTAGAAAAGGAGACAAGAGAAACCTCAAGTGTGATGGAGATGACAGGTAGTCTTCTCCTGGTGCTGCTTAGGTTCGTGGAAAATAGAAAGTTAGGGAAATATCTGTTGCCCTACCAGTCACCACATTTAAAGTTTTTCTGAATGATTTCCTACAACAGCCCTTAGAGTAGCATTTTCCCCATTTCTAACATATTCGTTAAAGAAAACAAAAAGATTAGGATAGGACTTTAAAGAGGTTAAAAAAAATCTCTATTTTAGGAAGGAAGAAATAAGCTGGGAATCTGATTTAGGAAAATGAATGCAAAAGGAATTTAGTAGTGCAGGTGTCTGCAGGAAGATGGCAGTATGCCAAGAAGGAAACAGTTCATGGGGAGACAGCAAGGTGCCTCCATGGGTAAAGGCATTTGCCTTTACCTGAGTTCAATCCCAGGACCCCAATGGTGGGGTGAGAGAACTGACTCCTTCCTACAAGTCATCTTCTCACCTGGCATGGGGCATGTACGTGCGTACACACACACACACACACACACACACACACACACACACACACTCAAGAAATCTTTCATAGCACGCATACCCTTATGGAAGAAAGATGGATGTAGAAAACCCAGGCTTTCTCTTTGCGCCTGTGTCAACTCCCCTATCTGTTTCCCGAAAGAAGGCCCATTTGAGTTTGCATTAAAATATTTTTAATGAAATTACAATACATTTTTGTCAGCCTAAAAGGCTCCCCAAGTGTCACAGTAACCTCTCTTGCCATTAAGTACTTTCTCCTCTGACACCTGCTCCCCATCACACAGCATTTTCTTCAATCTTTTTACCCAAGATTTTAACCTTGACCCACACTCCTTTGCATTCTTATCCATCTTTCCCCTGACACTGAGAACCCAATTAAGACTCCGAAGCAATGATTTCTGGGGAAAATCAAATGTACCCAAGTCAAAGAGTAGTAACCAGTTAGCTGCCAGCCTAAAGTCAATACATGCCTAACTTTAGTATTGAGGACTCTAACACAAAGGCGAGCTGGAATTATTATATTTAGAAATAATTGTGCTATTAAAATAGACACTCATTGGCCATCGCTTTATTATCATTAGAAATAAAACAATTAAAAATACTCAGAAATAATCATGCTAACGAATGGCTATGATCTTTCACGAGAGGTAGATGAACCACAGCTCCACAGAAATGCTTACTCTGCTTTTTGACCCTGAGGAAATCTGTCCCCTCACCCACTGCTACAAGAATATGATTTTCCATTCCTCACTTAGTGTTTGAAAACTTGTGCTAGGATTATCTTCCCAAGATGTTCACGCAGGGAAAGTGAAGGAGGTGGGTCACCAGCATTGCCCCAAGGCAACTGACAACCCAGAAAAACTAAACAAAGTTAGTTCAACCCAAGCTGAGAGAAAACCTATACAGTCTTTAGACAAGTTACCGCTTTAGTTCATGGATTAAAAGCAATGGTGTATTGTCACTGTTATTAGAAACCTCCAAAACCAGTTACATATGCATAAAAAAGCCTAATAAAATCCCTTTCAACTTTTCATGGCCCTCGTATTTTGTGCACTATAGTCTGTCTGGTAGGTAATCTCTGGCAGATGGCCTGGCCATGAAGTTCATCGAGGCTCACACTGTGTCTGTATAAGCTCTCTATAAAGCAGGAAAAGCTATATTAATGATAGCAGGCCACTTCGAGGGAGGAACACATGCACACAAGAGTGCACACAACCAAGTTATCAGCAGTAAATGCCGGTTATCAGTATCAGTCCTGGATGCTGGGCCTCTGTAACTGGAAATTTCAGAGACCCAGAATACCACGAGTTCAGTGCAGTTCTAAGGCCACACCCTCAAAAATCCAAACAAACAAACAAAATCAGTAACAGAAACAACAACAAAGTCAAACTTAAAAACCACAAACTGTGTGCTTTGGGATCTGTTGCCACCATTCATGTCTTCAGTTTTCCTCTCTTTCAAATCCAAAGTTGTTATTCTCCACTCTCAACACTGAAAACTGTACCCTACTGTATTCTAATCAGCAAGTGCTTTCACATTCTAGGTGCCAGGTCTGGGGGGATCACACCTGTAATTTCAGCGCTTAGAAGGCTGAGGCAGGAGTATTGATGTGAATTTGAGTCCAGCCCAGACTACAGGAATAAGTCTCTTTCTCAAAAAACAAAAATATGAAAAGATCTGTGCGCACAAATATACAATTCGTCTTTTAAAGTCCATATGAATTAATATTGGATGTCCTGGGCTTAAATCTGATGCTGTCACTTCTTAATCTATCTTGGGCAGAATTTAAAACTTCACAAGTCTTACTTGTTTCCTTCATAAAAAGGAAATAATACATATCTCCAAGGACTGTTATACTGATTATGAGAGGGAACTAATGTCTCTGACATACTATAAATACTTAGATAAGAGCTATCATGATTTATAAAGGAAACCTAATTGGAACACAGGTGTAGACCTAGACAAACAATAAAGTTCATATCAAACACAAAATGTTACATTTAGAATCTTGCATTTGTTTTTATTGTAAGAGGTATATGTGACTATGCATGTGTATATGTGTATGATATTCACACACATGCACATGTGTGCCTGTGCATGTAAAGGTCAGAGGCCAACGTCAGGATCTTCTATAACATCAGGATCTTCTTTTGAGACTGAGTCTGAGATGCAATGAACATCCAGCTGAACAAATAGGCTAAATCGAGCTGGTCAACGGGCCCCAGGACTCCTCTGCCTCATCTCTGCCTCTGCACTGACGGGGCTCCAGGCGGGAGCCTCCTGTCTGGCTTCCACACAGCTGCCAGATACCAGAACTCAAGTCCTCACACTTGTATGCTAGACATTTTGCTTGACTGAGCCACCGCCATAGCTCTCAGAACTTAGTTTTTAATGGATCAAAAATATGCAAAAGTTAAAGATGAAACTTTTGTCTCATTAAAAGAATAAAAATAAGTATCTCTTTTGTACATAAAGACTTTTAATAACCTTGGAGGAGAAAGTTATAAAGACGGCGATAAAAGAAAGAACTTTAAAATCAGGATTGTGTAAGATAAAACTGCATTCAATGAGACCTAAAAGGCCCGAAAGGTCCTAAGTGGTTATTTGTTAAAGATAATCTACTTGGGTGGATTTTACTTGCTCTAAATATAAAATCGTAACCAACAGTAGAATCTGGACTATGAGAAACTGCATAAAATAAAATTTCATTTCTGCAACAAGTAAACTTAAGAAAAGATCAAATAAAGCTGGAGACAAGTTAAAGCACACATAGACAAAACTAAAGAGCCATGTGCTTTGGTGATCAAACTATAAATCACGGTGCCAAAAGGACAGCCTCACAGTGAGGATGGTTTTGAGGAGGGTCTCTGCAAGGCAAGGAGGCGGGGCTTGGATGTGCAAAGCAACAGGTGCGCTCGATGACCACGCTCTGCAGCTTGAACAGGATGGACGTCATAGGCACCGACCTTTAACAAATCATCAGTCCATACATGGTTTACGCACATCTCTGTGTTAGTATTACACTTTAAAATATTTTATATTAAAATTGCAATTTTATCAAAGCAGTAGTGACATTTTCCATTGGACCGAATTCCTCTCCTCGCATTCATATGCATGCCCTAAATCGAATGCGCTGCACTCGACTTTTCCCAAACAGAAGGCTGTGACAAGTGAGCAGAGACCTTCCAGAGACTAGCTGCGAGGCATGCTTTACGGCAGGTAGAATTTCACGTAAGGAGTACAGCTCAGTTGGTAGAACGCATGTTCAACGAGCACAAAGTCCTGAGTCCCAAACTCAGTTTAAAAAGATTGCTCCCAAAGGAAGGAAATTCTCACTTACTTTGTTTTCCACGACCTTGCCTCCACGTTCAATGTGTCTCTCTACATAACCAGAGGACAGCAACTCACTACAATGAAAAAGAGATGGCAATTAAGGAGGATACTGCCACAGAGGTTGCCGAGCACACTCTCCAAGCTCTGGGTCTGGGGGTGGAGGTGGGGAGTTAAATATACATTACGTTTGAAAATATGCATCAGCTTCACACATATCTACTTTAACAATTCTTTAAATCATATTTTTAAAATGAAATCAACACTTTGCAGAGAGGGAAGAGGAAGGAAGGAGGCAGCAAGGAGGAAATATGCTAGACAGCTAGCGCTTCTACAAGGAAATAGAGAAAACCGAACCACCTCTACCACCTGTTAGCCCACGGCAGAGCAGAGCCGATTCCCCCATTCAACACCAGAGCTAGAAAACTGTAGCAATACCAGTATTTTTTTTATAGATATTTTAGTCTTGTTTTTTTACTATAGCTTTCTTACTACTCATATCTTACCAGATGGGTCATATATGCTATTTTTTTCTTATAAATTATTAGTTCCTATCACACACAGAAAAATAAAAGGAATGGGGAAAGTGTTGCCAAGATGGGGGAGCAAGTAAAGATCTGACAACTGCCCAGCCTGACAACCTGACTTCAGTCCCCGGGACTCACAACGTGCAAGGACAACAACCTCTCCCAAATTGTCACATGCACACTGACGCCCAAGCACCACATCCACAGGCGCACACACACACACACACAGAGAGGGAGAGAGAGAGAGAGAGAGAGAGAGAGAGAGAGAGAGACTAATAAAAACAAAGAAAATGAAAAGTAAAACCTCATCAACATTTTGAAGCTATTCTTAAAGTCTTCTAAACAATCTTATCATGTGATTGGATGCTCACCTAATTCCTCATCTATTTATTTACTTTAGACAATGTGTATTGGTTTTCTGCCTAAATGCATGTCTGTATACCACACTCACGCATTGTGCATGGAGGCCAGAAGAGAATGTAAGATACCATGGAACTGGAGTTAGAGATGGTTGTGGCGCACAATGTGGGTGCTGGGAATTGAATCCAGTCCTTTACAAGAACAGCCAGACCTGTTAACTGCTGCACCATCCTGCATCAGAAAGCTACTACTGAAGAAGGTTCCTAAAATATACACCTGTATATAATGAATTTAAATGGAGATACACAATGGGGGAGATAATAGCCCAAACAGACATCATATGCCACCAAATTAAATCCCCAGTACCAGAAATGGGATACAACTCTTTCAGTCATTGTCAAAGGGGTCCATGAGCACTCTTAAGACATCACAGACTATTGGCAATGCTGTTGGTTACCCTCTCGAACCCACTACTGAAGACAGCATGTATGCATATCATTGAACATGGAGGAACTGAGGTTGGGCTCGCCTAGAAGCTTCATCCTTTGTGATTAGCATTCACAGTACTAGAAGATAGGCTATAAGAGGAGAAAAATCATCATCAGTTTCACCCAGCAACAAACTGATTTTTTTTTCTCTCCCAGAAGTTACTAATTACGTATAGTTTCTTTGTTAGACGTGGGACTCTGCGTCCACTTCAGTACTGGGATTTTCTCTAGCTAGAACTTGTAGAGGTCTTCGGCATGCTGTGGCAGGCAATCTCTGCTATGAGTTCATGTGTGCATGAGTCCTGTTGTGTCTGGAGAATACTGTTTCCTTGGAGTCATCCATTACTTCTGGCTCTTACAATCGTTTCACCTTTCTTCTCTATTAGATCCCTGAGACTTGAGGGAAAGGGAGTGATAAAGACATCCCATCTATCGCTAGTGCTCCTAAATCTCTCACTGTACAGTGATGGGTCTCTGTGTTACTTATCATCTACTGCAAGAAGCTTCTCTGCTGAGGACTGAACAATGCACTGGTCCATGCGTATCGCAATACATCATTAGGAGTCATTTCACGGTTATGCACCTCTAGCGGAATAGTAGTAGGTTTACTAGATAGGTTCACGGCCTAGCTAGTCTTAGGTTCTTGGCCTCATTAACAGTGTCAGGGATGGGTTCCATCTCATTGAACTTGCCTCAAATCCAGTTTTAAAATGGTTAGTTTTCCTCCTAACATTTGTGCCCTATTGTACTGGTGGGTGTGTCTTCTAGGCAGGTCACAAACTGCCAGTCTCTTCATCCCAGTGTTGTGGTTACAAGCAACCTTGTCCTTGTAGTACAGCCAATACTTTTCCTACTGAGCCATCTTCCCAGGTCCAAAAGGGTCTTTAGATATTTTAAAGCACTAAAATATAAATAAAATTACCATGAATAACTAAAAAGAATACATGAGGCTATAAATTTTTAATGCTACACTATTTATACACACTGAGCCAACTTTTTAAAAAATCTTCTAAAAATGGTTTTATGAATCATCAAGTCAAATTGTCCCAATCGCAAATTTCTGAGCACACGGTCCATCATGAGCACATGGCCCATCATGAGCACATGGCACACGGCCTGTCATCATGAGCACACACGATCCGTCATGAGCACCATGCCTACAGTTGTTTGAAATGTAAACAAATATACCTACAGTGCTGCAGAATCTATGACTATACGGTCAGGAAACTAAAGTCCAAGTGTCATTTACTTTTGAGAATATATATTTATATTTCCCCTTCACCTGTCATGGATGAAAGTGTGTGAGAGGCAGAGAGAGAGAGAGAGAGAGAGAGAGAGAGAGAGAGAGAGAGCGTGCGCACTTGTGTACACATATGTGCGTGAGCACATGAAGTTCATCATTTTGCCTAGTGTTGCGGGCCAGTGAGCTCCTAGGATCCACTTTTCTCTGCCCCCTACAGGAATACACAGCCATGCCTGGCTTCTTATGTCAGTACTGGGGGCTCAGACTCAGGTCCTAGCACTGGCAGAGCAAGTGCTCTTATTTACTGAGCCGTCTGCCCATTCCACGGAATAGGTTTACCGCTTTGCTTTAAGCGAGAGCCAGCTAGGATGTGCTAGATTGTGTGTTGCAGATTTAAAAAAAAAAACTAAAAAGTAATTAAACTATCAAGACATTTATCATCTTCTTATTATAAATTCCAGAGCAATTATAATTGAATTTTCAGTTAACATCCAGCTGTTAGATGAATAAATTTGAGCCTTAGTGTGTGTGTGTGTGTGTGTGTGTGTGTGTGTGTGTGTGTGTGTGTGTACTTTTGAGACACTTTAAGTATGGATGACTAGGTAATAGATAAATTGTGTTATATGTAGGCGCCATCTATCTATGAGCTTGCCCAATAACTGAGAGAATAAGGGTTGTATAGACGATAACTAGCCGTCTTTTTCTTTCTTAGGTCAGTTCTGGACCTTCTGGGAACCCTCAGAAGACAAGGCAGACACAGTGTGAGGGGAGCAGTATGTGGAACACTGTATGCCTCAGAGAGAGCTGCTGTGCCCCCTCTCCCCAGCTCACTCCCTATTCCAAGTCTGCGAACCTGTGCCTCTGGACGTTCACTCTGTGCCTAAACTGATTTCTCCTTGGTTTAAGGGTTAATTTGTTCATCTGCTCTACCTCTGAGGCAGCTCTCTCAGTAGCGAGCCTGGAGGCTACCACTGACCACATCAGGGTACTTCCAGGGCTGGCCCACCCACAGTGCCACTGAGACTAAGGGCACTTTGTTTTCTAAAATTTATTGTCCTTCCTTTATGCATACGGGTATTTTGCCTACAGGTATGTCTGTGTACCACAGGTGTGCCTGGTGCCTACAGAGGCCAGAAGAGGGCATCATAGCTACCAGAGCAAGAGTTACAAACTATTGTGGGCCACCATGTGGGTGTTTAGAGTTGAATCCAGGGTTCCTGGAAGAGCAGCCAGTGCTCTAACCAATGAGCCATCACGCCAGCCCCAAGAGAATTTTTAACTTTCTGCTCTGTCATCGATCAGTATAATGGTTGGGCTGTTCTCTTAATTGGCTCCTCTAATGGCCCTAATGTAGCTGCTGCAATTTCTAAGAACCTCATGAAGACAAATATATCCCAAGACTTAACAGAATGAAAGAGGGAGGGGGAAGGAGGGAGGGGTGGCTAGCCTATAGTCCACGCTTCTTTAAAGGTAAACAAACGTTTTTTACAAAACTTAGATTTAATCTCCTCAGACGTCTTTTACAGAATTGCGTTATATGGCCACACCTAGGTCAATCCCTTGACAAGGGCATTAATCACTGAATACTCTAGAGTCTTCTTCGTGGAACAGGATTCAGGGGGAAAGGGCAGCAGAAAGAATGACTGCTGCACAGACAGCAACAGCAGCCTTTCTGCTGCTTGTTTTCAGGTATGGCAAATATTTCACATTTCCAAGTGTTTTGGACAAAACGGCAATCTACGTAGTGCAGACTTACCTCAGACAAAACAGGGGATTGAAACAGTATCCACACCACACTTGGTTAACTCGGCCTGTGTCCCAAACAGGATATGTTCTGGCCAGAATTCTACATAGAGCTCTCCCTTGGCTTTGGTACTATATGACACATCTTCCCCGGAAATGGGGCGGGGGAGGGGGGACACTACCACACAGAGGCAATGTTATTAACATAACCAGCCAGGTTCCAGCTCTTGGGGATCTGAACTAGCAAATTCCGGGAAGAGGGAGGTACATATCTTTATGCAACTGATAAAGGACACTGAAGCTCATCTCTAGAAGAACATAGTGGCCGTCTTTAGGATAGTCTTTAGAAGAACAACAGGGGTAGCAGTAGTAATAATTATCTTAATCCTTAAAAACAACGCTGAAGTATTCTAGGTTTTCAAGTTTCGAGGGAATATTTTCATGCGAATTATAAAATCCAGGTGAGAAGACACCGTGAATCACAAGGAGAGTGATCACAGCAAAGATAAAGCACTCCGCTCAGGAGCCGTGCTGCCATTCCAATCAAGTACCCACAGCTACATGCACTGCAAGGAAAGGCCCCTTGTAATTTACACCAGAAACAGTGCGTGCAATTCTGTTTTGTTTGTTCGTAGTATTGTGAAAGTATGCTAAGTATTCTTATTTTAATGATTGGACTGGAAAGCCATCCATTAACGATATCATTGTGCCTTCTA